TATAAAGGGTGACCAGATAAGAACGATAGGAAAAAAAAATTTAATAAAACAACAACGGTGTGAGATATAAAATTGATTCTGGCTTTATTTTGAAGCTACATTCATGGCATTATGTGTGGAATAGCACATCATTCAAATGGCCGCCTCGGCTTCGCTGGCAGTGCTTCAAGCGGTCGGTCCAATTTTTGATGACTCGGTCCAATATGTGCGGCGTTATTCCGGCAATAGCGTCTCGAATGTTGGCCTCAAGCTCGTCCAAAGTGGTTGGCTTGTTAGCGTAGACTAAGGACTTGACGCAGCCCCAGAGAAAATAATCGAGTGGTGTCAAGTCGCATGATCGCGGCGGCCAATTGATGAACGCTCGCCGTGAGATGATCCAGTCGCCAAATTTCTCCTTCACAACTTCGAGCGTTGCGTCGCTTGTATGGCATGTAGCGCCGTCTTGTTGGAACCACAGCTCGGATATATCGATGTTGTCGAGCTCTGGCCACAGAAAGTCCATTAACATCGCTCTATATCTGAGACCATTGACGGTAACGGTGTCTCCTTCCTCATTTCGAAAGAAATAAGGTCTGATGATGCCGCCATGCCATAAACCGCACCAAACAGTCAATCTTTGTGGATGCATTGATGCTTGGTTGAACACTTGTGGATTGTGTTCGCTCCAATAACGGCAATTTTGCTTGTTAACATAGCCGCTGAGCCAAAAATGGGCCTCGTCCGAGAAGATGATTTTTTGGCCAAAATCCGGATCTCCGGCCAACATTTCCAGCGCCCAATTAGCGAACTCACGGCGTTGTCTATGGTCATCCGGCTTCAATTCTTGCGTCAGCACAATCTTATACGGATGTAAGCCCAAATCCAACCGCAAAATAAGCCGGGTTGACTCTCTGGCGATGCCCAATTCAGCTGATCGGCGCCGAATCGACATTTCTGGGTCTTCTTCGATACTGGCCGCTACGGCGGCTATGTTGTCTTCATTTCGCACCAATCTCTGTCTGGTTGGTGGCTTAAGGTCCAAAAGAGTGTACTCACGCTCAAACTTTTCCACGGTGCGACGAATTGCCTGCATACTGAAGCCATGATGACGACCGACCTCACGACGAAATTCACGTTGCGTATTTACAACTGAGCCGGAATTTCGATAATATTTTTTAATAATTTCCGCACGTTCGGCAAGCGTGAAACGATGCATGATGAAATGGCAAACCTTACTGAATATTTTAACAGCTGGATTTCATTAGTAACTTTGACAGCTGCTGAAACATAACAATTGGAAAAAGTATCATTGCTATCTGGTCACCCTTTATATATATGAAATGACTCGGGAAGACATCCCCAACAACATATTTAAAAATGAAGCAAATCGGAGAGGAGGCCCCTTTTATGCATAATTACCAGATTTATTATTTATAAATTAGCAAAATTTCCAAACAGGGCTCTACATGCATACGCGTGGCTGTGTGTTTTAAATTATATTTCGATAACCTATGTCTAAAAGCAACGGTGTCCAATTGTATAGTGCGCAAAAGAACTGTGTCCAAATGAACGGTGCGCAAAAGAACTGTGCGCAAAAGATCTGTGCGCAACATTATGTGTCCAATAGCACTGTGTGCAATTGCATCGTGTCCAATTGTACTGTGCGCAATTGAGCCTCTCCCGTTCGTGGCCCCGGCCGAGCGGTCGGCGCGCCGGTGTATCTAAGTCTTTATGCGGCGCTATGCGCCCGCGTCTCGCCCGACGGATGTTCGGTCGGGCGGCATCCGGCGGGTGGAATGCCGGGAACGGTGCAACGGGGGGTGCATCGTTACAAAATGTATGTATGTCATATGTACATAATATAAACATACTTCGATGGATTAATTACTTATACATCCCCATGTATATTGTATGTATATTGTGTGTATATACATGCAGGTACGTATCGAAATATACATAAATGTACTTTCATGCACATCGGACGAACATATTTTCATGGATCAGTTTAGGATATTTTCCGATGTGTGTCAAACGCCTATTGTATGTATATACATATATGTACGTGTCAAAATGAACATAAATGTATTTTAACATACATCGGATGAATATACTTTCATGGATCCGTGTAAGATTTTTTCTGATGCATTTCGAATGTACATTGCATGTACACTGCTCAAAAGAAATATAGCATAGAAAAACTTTATGCAAAAATTGGTCAACTTTGACTGACGGTAACTCCGCGAAAAATAATCGTAAAATTATGTTCTTTTTTTTTTAATTAAAGCTTGAAATCTCTACTTTAAGATACTATAGTTCGATTTTAGGTGTGATGCATCCCTACCACTGTAACATCTTAAATGTGAGGGCATGTTTATTATATTGAAAATTACAAAGTTTAACGGAGTGCATGGACTTGCGACATTTTTTTTCGGGGATACTGTTTGCAGGAACATAAAGTACGAACCTTCCTCTTCAATTTAAAAAAAAAAAGAAGTCGCTGCCATTTTTTTCGCAAGGATACAGTACTTTAAAGTAACCCTTGAATTATTGGCATATACCAGGTTGCCGGTCGGATTTTGCACATCATATGGCCCTGAAAAGAGTCGTTTGTGTGTGTGTGTATGTGTGTGTGTGTGTAGAATGACTCATTTTTGGGGTGCTTGATTAAAAGGAGTCCCCCTTGCTTCTCACTTGTGTGTGTGTGTGTTTAAATTTGAAAAACGCGTGTTTCCTCCGCATTGTTGAATTACTCTGATGGAAAAATTTTGCTGAAAACGTAATAAAATTTGCTGAAATTTGGTTGAACATCTCTTGCAACTGACCCAATTTCATTATCATTTCAACAATATTTCATTAAAAAATTTATTTTCAGTGAAATGCTGCAAATTTCGTAATATACATTTCAAAAATTTTTTTACTAATTTTTAGTAATATTAATTAACTTTCATCTAATTTCACAGTATTTCATTGAATTTCATTACGAAACTTATGATTTATTTTGAAATCTCTCTAAATTTTTCCAAGTGAAATATCACTAGAATCGAGTGAAAATTCACTTGAGCAAAGAGTGAAAATCGAACATATCTTATCGAGTGAATATTAACTCGGTATCCCGAGTGATTTAGATCGCTCGTGCGGTCGAGCGAAATTTGACTCGTGATTTGAGTGAACTTGCACTCGGTCAGAGAGTCGTCTTCAGGTGTTTGATTTTGCTGTTCACTCGTTCGTAGAGTGAAGTTTTACTTTCGTTCAAGCGCACAAGAGAAAAGGCAGGGTTAGTATAATAAATTACATCCTCCACTTGACGTTCAGGATTATAAATTTTTTATTTGCAAATTCAGCTTTAGTATAAAAATAAAAACTTTATTGTGACAAATACTGATTTATTACTGATACTGATATAAATACTGATATAAACTCTTCTACTCCATAAATTCCAATTCTGAATCAAAACTGGAAACACAAAGAAGAGGTAATTTAATATTTTTTTAAGTAAAAGTTAGAGACATGAATAATTGAAGCAATTATAGAAACTTACTCAAACGTAGTCTCTGCTGATTCTGGCTGAATTTCTATTGCACTTAAAATAGAATTTAAGCTGTCGCAGCAACTCTTAGGGGTATTGAGTCCATTGTAAACAATGGATTCAAAAAAATTATAGAAGTTCAGAAGAGGAGCTGCATATTTTACGTCAAACATGTAGTGCAATTTAAAGAGTCTATCAAAAGCACGTAGAGGGTCGTTCCCCACAGGAAACAAATGAGTTTCTACTTGGACAAAGAATGGGCCTTTTCTTTGGTCCATATTTGTGCAGCACAACAGAAATGGTTGCTTTTGTAGAGAACCTCTTTCAGATGTTTTACTATTTACATCTTCATTTGCCTATAAGAAGAAAACAGAAGATATTCAGAGATAAACATATTTTATATGTTATTTCAATCTGGTTAAGATTTCCTTACAGGTATGAACTGCAAGAGGCTTGGATGTGGAACTGAAATGATACGGGTTGTTGCCACCTGGCTATTTTTTTGCTTAGCTCTAGCTTTATCCTGAAAAGTAAATAATAATATATAATAGCCATAAAAAATTTCTCAAGTTACTATAAATTAAATGAAAGAAAATGATATATACTTGTTTAGTCTTCATGGCTTCCGGATGGTTGCCGCGTCCGTTTGCAGTGTGGTGCCGACGTTTCGCAGGCGTTGCAGTCTGCTTCATCAGGGCTGGGAGACTCTGATACTGAGCTGCCTCGCGTTTTATA